TAGAGGTCTGCGTAAATGCATTCAAAATGGCAAATGAATCGTTCATTCTAAAACTGAGTGCACGTTTACAAGTACAACTTTCAATGAATGTGAGTGAATGTTGTTTTAACGCCAATATTGACATTATTGTATCACATTCTACAATACATAATTAGTACACCTTATTAGTGTGCAGTTCACAAACTGTACACTAAGTTGTAGAGAAAAAAATTTTATAAATCCATACTCAATGTACTTTCAATTCATTTGATTAAAACTTGATTAAAATGCAATCGAATAATTAAGTTGCAAATCACTATAGCTTCAATTTTATAAAACATATACGAAAGTAAATCATAATTTTAACGTTTTCAAGAGTATTTAGTTTTTGAAATAGCTGCAAGGGTATATGAACTTCGGCTTGCCGAAGTTTGCTTCCTTTCTTGTTTTATATGTAAATTGTATATTGATAATTTAACTTTTTGTACGAGGATACCTTCCTTCGTCAAATAACCATTTTATGGTCTTAACTAAAACAAATTATTTTTTTTTTTTGGTTTCTGATGATCCCGCGAAAAGTTATGCTGTCAACGCGGAGAGGCCTTTTTTCCAAGGGAGTGCCGAAAATGACGCCGCAATAGACAAGTTTATAATTTGTTTTTTTTTTTTTAATTTGTTTTGTACGAGGAAGTCCATGTAACCCGTTAAATTTTTTCTCTTTAGCGGTTTAATATGTAGCTTGTAAAGTTCGAAAGAGTGACAGATATCTGTTCCTTCTAAAGCACTCACAGCCAGATAAAAAAAATAATTTTGCTTTCTAGAAAATTAATATTGCAGTAAAGCAAAAATAATGTAATGCTGTGAAAGCATTTTTAAACGCCGAAAAAAAATAGCACTCAACGTTTAAGCAACCCATAATCTAGTCCATTCAATTGTTTTTTTTGAAGCACCAAAGTACTCACCTGTTTGTTTATTAATCGAAATAATATGCTCATTCGAACTGCTCCAAATCGATGACAGCGTTAGCGGTGAATCGAAGCAAATGATGTCGCCTACAGAGAAAATGGTCTGTCGCTTGTTTGACGGTTGGACACGAGCAGTTGTGTATAATTGTATGTGAATGTGTTTGAGAGGTAATGTGCGTCAGTAAAAACATGTTTTTCATGCGGGAGAAAAAAAAAAACAAAATATTTAATTTGTAAGAGGCGTTTAGAAATAACTCACTTATAAACTCATTCAATGAATTTCTAATTTCATTAGAATAGCTAGGAAAACATTTTCTTCGTTTTCTGCGACCAGCAATGCATGTTGCATCTGTTCTACCCCATGTTAATCTGTTTTTTAATGTCAATAGGAGTATTAAGTCCCAGCTTACCTGGGTGGGAAAGATGTTTTCTGACTCGACCACTGACAACTTGATGTAGTCCTCAGCATGCTTAACTCCAGTTGGGTCTCTTAGACTGATGGCGATGACATTGTTGGTCTCCCGCTGCAGGTTTAGCTGTGTGTAAATATGCGTATATCGTTAACATGTTTTAATCATTGCGTATTAAATTTGAGCTGCAAAAGCTACAGCTTTGACTCAGTGCGTCCTGCGGCTAGTCACAATTTAGAACCGTGGTCGCTCTGTGTTTATTCGTTTGTAAAGATTATTATAATGTTTATCAAAGGTTTGCAACGCAATAAAGAAATTATCAGTCCTATAAAGTAAAAAAATGCTTCATCAGCATCGATAGAAGAGTCTAGTCATGTATGTCAGTTTCTAAAAAGCTCCTATAGGAACAATCGCAAAAATAAATTTAAAAAAATTAATTCCGATGTTTTTTAAACTACACAATTTAACTTCGAGAAATAGTAATGGGTTTACAGTTCAAATATACAATTTTAATTTTATTAAGATAAAAACGACTATATTATATAGTTCAAAAAGGAACAATCGCCAAAAAAAAATTTAAAAAAAAAAAGCTCAGCTGTTTCTCCATTTTTACGCATATACTTCGATACTTATAGTAATAGTTTAATCTTTAAGAAATTAGGTTTTAATTTTATTAAGATCAGACAACGAATCAGCGAAACACCAAAATATCTATTGCTTATACGCGTATACTCATAAAAATCGGTATTTTGCAAGGGTATATAAACTTCGGCTTTCCAAAATTTGTTCCTTTCTTGTTAATTGGTGGCATCAGTTTGCATGGGTCAAAAAAGCTGGCCAGCAAAAACGAGCAATATACCGTGCAGCTTGATCTTATGATTTTAAGCACTCTCATCCGCAATCCAACCGTTCGCATATGTTGGTGGCAACAAAGCATACAGACTCAAATCATTTCTCTTTATTACCATAAGACAGGAGAAATGTATACAAAAAAGGTTACAAAAACAAACTGCCAACAAAAACAAGCGAATACCGCAAGCGAAAACTTTGTTCGGATTTGGCTACTTGGCGGAACTCGGCTATATACAGCTATATATTAACAGGCCACGAAAGGAGCGTTCAAAACTGAAAAATCGTACTCACTGCTATTGTCAGATTGTTATCTATCTTGGCGTCCACCACATCTTTGGTGGCCAATTCATACCGCAGTCCATTTGCATCCTCGATATTATGTGAGAACTCGTTGCCCAGGTTGTCGTGTAGCGATATCTTAAATAGAAAGTTCATACCTCGCGGAACCTTGTGTTCGGCTTTCCTAAGTTTAAGGTTTGGTATCAGTGTCACCAAAATGTATTGTACATTCTTCACTTCGATTCCGATAGACAGTGTTTGGTCCGCTGTTTTAGCCTAGACGATAAAAATAAAATTCAATTCAATAGAATTCCGCTTTTGTGCCCGCATGCTGGATCTTACAATTATCAGATCACGGCCAAGAATGTCCTTTGTTTGCACAAGGCCATCGGGTGATACGTTGATAATGCCACTGCTCTGGCCGGCTGTCCTATAGACCGTATTGTCCATATTAGACTTAAGCTGAAGAATGCTTCGCGGCGCTGCCAAAATGGAATCCATTTGGATTGGTTTTGGTGCGACCAGTTCCAGTGTTTTAAAAACTACGAGAATAATTTTCATTTGGGACCTTAAAGTAATTCTTGTAAATAGTCAAGTGAGCTCACACTAACCAGTTAGCTCCACGGTGGCTGCTGGCAGCATAGTTCCATCCGCCAAACTAATGGTTGCCGATATGGTAACCTTTCCGGGATTAAGGGCTCTTACTCGGACCGATATCAAGTCTTCACTTTGGTATTCGATTCCTGGAATTGGATTTAAACACGATGATTTACACTACACGATAAGATGTTTTCAAGTATCTGCAAAGTCTAAAAAATAAAATATTTTAAATATCATTTCTTGAAAAAAAAAACGAGAAAGGAAGCTAACTTCGGCAAGCCGAAGTTCATATACCCTTGCAGCTCTTGCAAAAATTAAATATTCTTGAAAACATTAAAATTATGATTAACTTGCGTATATGTTTAAAAACAGATTAACAGATTTTGGTGAAAACAGTGACATACGCGAGCAAGCATAATCAGTGGGGATCTCATCCAAACATGCAATAAACTGATATACGTTTTGCCGGACAGCCCTTCATATTGACCAGTAGATCCCAGAACCACAGATTTAATTGATTTCAATATGACAAAAACTTCTCTCGCTATCTAATATTTGCGAAAACGCTCTCGTTACTCGTAGGGTAAAAAAGTATATTGTAATCGTTCAAAAGTATATAACAGGTAGAAGAAAACGTTTCCGACCCTGAGTATGTCTGTCTGTCAAACTGTCAGTCTGTATGTCCGTATGAACGTCCAGATCTCGGAAACTATAAAAGCTAAAAATTTTGATTTGAAATGCAGATAGTGTGTGTAAAATCGTGAGCAACTAAACAAATGAGTAACTGAACAACTGAGAACTAATCAAGTGAGCAAAAGAGTTCAATAATTGTAAACATGTTCAGTCCAGTCACTCACATGGAAAAAACTTTATAATTGTGTATTTTTATACCCTTGCAGAGGGTATTATAATTTCAGTCAGAAGTCAGTGAAGGAGACGTTTCCGGCCCTATAAAGTATATATATTCTTGATCGGCATCACTAGTAGAGTCGATCTAGCCATGTCCGTCTGTCCGTCTGTCAGTCTGTCCGTCTGTCCGTCCGTTTCTACGCAAACTAGTCTCTCAGTTTTAAAGCTATCTGCATGAAACTTTCCCAAAAGTTGTCTTTTTATTACAGGTATATAAGTCGGAACGAGTCGGATCGGACATCTATATAATATAGCTCCCATAGGAACAATCGAAAAATAAACAAAAAAAAATTATAACTTTGCTGTTTTTTAATTTTTCTATTAGTTCTTGGACATATAGTAATGGTTAAATACTTCAGAATTACGATTTAAATTTCATCAAAATCGGACGAATATATAATATAGCTCCCATAGGAACAACCGAAAAATAAACAAAAAAAAATTATAACTTTGTTGTTTTTTAATTTTTATTTTAGTTCTTCGAGATATAGTAATGGTTAAATATTTCAGAATTGCGTTTTAAATTTCAGCAAAATCGGACGACTATAGCATATAGCTCCCATAGGAACAATCGTATAGCTGCCATAGGAACTATCGAATAATTAAGCTGCAAATCATCATAGCTTCAATGTTTTTAAACTTACACTCAAGTAAATCATAATTTTAACGTTTTAAAGTGTATTTAGTTTTTGAAATAGCTGCATGGGTATATAAACTTCGGCTTGCCGAAGTTTGCTTCCTTTCTTGTTTAATTAAATATTAAAACAATATGGTAGGAAACAATGTTTACAATGTATTTTAATGGTCGTTCTTTTCTTCAAAATATTAATTTAATTTTTGACATCATTTTAAAATGACAGCATATTTTGGTATGTTCTGCTACATATTTTTACATTGAAAAAGGAAAATTTTAATTATATAATTTGCTTATCTATTTTAATAGTTTTGCCGCGATTAAACTGGAAATAAGAAACTACTTCCAGGCCTTTACTTCATTAATGGAAGGGCTTGTAAGTTCCGTATCTGTTCCTGCGTCGAAACTCAAACGGGCAGGCTCATCGAAAAACGTTTGGAATTTAATGTTCGTGCACTTTGTGGGCATAGAGCTAGATATAATCTCTTCAGCGGTATCCGTGCACGTTTATTTATACTAAAGACTTGATAAAACTAAACTCACCTGCAGCCGTGAATACGTTAAATAATTCAACCACCTGCGTTGGGCTGGCTTTCCAGGAGATTTTGGTATTTTGCAGAGTACCCAGAACCATAGGCGATAAATCAGAATGTCCCCACAAGGTGGCGGGCATTACGGCACCGCAACGAACTCGGACCAGCGGCGTGCGTATCTGCACTCCCTTAAGGGCAATCACGTTTATTTCCACCGAGTCTTGAGAGACCACCTCGTCCTTACCGGTTATGGGGTTTTTTAGCACGAATTTGCCTACAATCTTACTGGTCCCCAGCCTGTGGGCCGTAACAATAGACGACCTTATAGCTGCAAGTGAGAAGGATAAGGATAATCTTATTGTCAAGCGATACACCAGAAATAAACTCACTTGCTATTTGCTCCGACTCCACTGTGTATACCATATTGGTGTTTGGCTGCGGCCCGCCCTGATAGTAGATCTGTATGCTGCTGCCGACCACGAGAGTTGAGGTGCGCGGATAGAGACGAATCGGGGCAAAAACCTGAACGTTAAGGGGCTCACTTGTCACCTGCAGGGTGCCCCTTCCGGACTGAAAAACGATCTTGGTCTCGCCGACGTTGTTGCCAGTGATGGTGTAGCGGATTTCCCCCGGTCGCAAGTCATTCTGCTCGCCTAAACGCACGCTCAAAACGCTTTGGTCCAAGACCTGATAAGTTAGGTCGTACACACTCAATATGTTCCGGTCCACGAGCAAAAGGTTGTCGTTGGTGTCAAAGACCCGGACAATCGCCTCAATACGAGTAGTCCTTTCCATCCGGTCCATGCTAGCGACTTCAATGGCCCCAATTCCCACAACGGAAATGGACAGATGACTGGGTTCGTTAGTCAAACAGCGGTCGGTCAGCTCGAGACGCACGTGGCCGAAACGCAACGGCGTCAACACTAATAGGCGGGTCTTCTCGTCATATTCGACCTGCACGATCCCCTCCTCGGAGAGCTCGAGCTGCAGGTAACCGCTGCCCTGAGTGATGGATATTTCTTCGCTGTGGCCCTTAGCAAGAAAAATGCTGATGTGGTCCTTAGGCAACAGCGTGCTGTTGACTGTATGAAATCGTATCTCGTTTTCGATCAGAGGCGTGCCAATTAACCCCGTTTTAGGCTGCAAAAGGAATTTTAAGGATTAATTAGCGAGAAGAAAATGATTTAGCAAAGATAACCGACATTTTTGAGTCCGAAAGCAGGACGCTCCGCGTAAATATCTTGCTCGGCAAGCAGCTTTTCGTTGTAGTGGGACACCGTGCCTTTAATGCGGAAGTTGGGCGCCACTTCGCTCAAAGTTAGGACGAGAAGATCACGGTTCGGAACGCTAACGGTGTGAACAAATTTCTCCTCAGTGACATGTCGGTGTAAAACAGTGTCCTCATGGTAGCGCTCGTCACCCGCGGAAAATTCCCAGTCCAGTTGAAGAGAGCTCACATTCATAAGCCGGCGATTATTTGAATCCTGCACCTCTATTTCAATCTCAAATTTGTTCTCCCGATCTTTTAGAAACAGTAGCGAGGATCGTTGTTCCAGGGGACAGGACTCACGCAGGTTGTGGCGAGCGTAGAGCTTTAAGAAGCGGGGACGCACGCAATGCACTTTGGTGGTCACCTCGGATCGGTAGACGGCGAAGTTGGGCGTGGAAAGGCTATTGTGGACACGGTAAGTGAACTCAGTCTGGCCCAGCTTGCGGCACAGCACCGTGAACGCGGTAATAGCATTTTGTATGTCGAACTTTATCTCAGACACCTTGATTATATTGCCATCGAAATCAGTGGACTTGGTTAGCTCGGCCGCCAGCGTATAAATACGCTGCGGTCCGTTTGAGTAGATAATGTTGCGTGATGAACCGACGGGCAGCACCACCTCGTTATCCGGCGGATTAAGCACGCCCAGCGGCTCAAAAACGTAAATGTCTACGGTGTCATGAAGCACTTTGTCCTGAAACATGTATGATACGCGTAACGAAGTGCTGCCCACAGCGGTAGCCCGAAGCCGTAACACGTGGCACGCATCATGGACCGCTTCATGTACCTCCTCGTTGCTCTCCAGCTGTAAAATGGGATGGCTGAAATCAAGCTGAAAGTGGAGGTTGTTGCAAGTCGTGTAGGGCACGTCTGAATTATTGATTCGGGCGTACACACCGACATGTACGAAAACAAAGCCGTTCAGGGATGTCTCAAAGTTGCAGTGCTTAATCTGGAGTCTGTTGGGGGGCACGAAGTAAATCTGCGCAAGACAGGAGATTTTCTGGTTTCTGGTCAGTGCTACTTTGACGGTGGTGTGAGCGGCTACCAAACTGCCGTTCTGAAGACGCTCCTGGAGAACGAGGGCCGGGCGAACATCTCGGATTTCAGTTTTGGCCAAGCCCTGGGCATCTATTTGAAGCATCTGCGGGTTTCCGGAGAACCAAGCGTAGTTGTTGTCTCCGCCAGAAGCATGAAACTGGAGCTCTAACGGTTTCACACTGCTTTGATCGTAGGGCAGTACCACCTTGGTTGGTATCAGCTTAAGCTCTTCAAAAATCTGAAGCTCAGCTTGTACCGACAGCTGTCATGAGTAAAAAAAATCAGTTATTAAAGAAATTGTAAGTCTAGAACATTTTTTGCATTGCAATCAAATTCTCAGTTTATATGGGTATTCAAATTCAGTTAACGAAAAAAAAAATCAAGTCGGCGCAAACTTATTGGCAAATAATTGTAAAAACTGCTTAACATTTCCTTTTCCGTTGATTTTCAATCATTTCTACGACATAATGTTGCTCGATTTTAATAAAATAGTAATTTTAAATAGTCTCGAAGTATATTTAAAGAAATAATAAAACAGCGATAATTTCATAATTATTTTTTAAATATTTTTCCGATTTTTCCTATGAGAGCTATATTCCATAGTCGTCCGACCCGGCTCGTTCCGACTTATGTACTACCTGCTATAGAAAACTGAGGTACTAGTTTGCGTAGAAACGGACGGACAGACGGACGGACATGGCTAGATCGACTCTCCTAGTGATGCTGATCTAGAATTTATATACTTTATAGGGTCGAAAATATGTCCTTTGCAAACTTCTGACTGAAATTATAAGAATGTATTATAATTATGACTGCTGTTTTTTAATTTTTTTTTTAGTTCTTCGTCATAAAGTAATGTTTAAATATTTCAGAACAACGTTTTAAATTTCATCAAAATCGGGCGACTGGTATACAGAAAATCTTTTTCCGATGGTCCCTATATCAGCTATACAGTCATGAATGTTATAAAATTGAAAAATCGATTATTTTGGAAGCAATAGGATATAGTCCGAAAAAAAATTATTTGTAATTGTCTTACCTACCGACCGCAAAACCATAAACTTACGTCTTTGTATGATCCGTACACTTGAGTGATACCCTCCTTTTTCGCTTCACCGACGAGCCGACTTCCGTTTCGTGTTCGGTGACCAATTGCGAACAGGGTCTCGTCCACCTCTGAGCTAATGGAATACCGGCTGCCCAGCGTGATCTTCTGCCCGTCAGCGGTAAATAGGTCCAAGGCCAGCTCGTGACGCTCGCCCTGCACCGTGGCCCAGTTAAGATGGGGTAGCAAGCTGATGCCCAGCCTTTGGGGCTCCGCCACAGTCAAAAGGGCGCTGGGTCCCTTAGTGGCGTTATCTGAGTCTGCCATGTTGCGATCCCGCAGAAAGACCTGAGTGCGACCCAAAGCCGATCCCGTGGCACTGTTGCCATGTAGTTTGGCAACGCTGACATCCTCCACCTCCAAGTAGTATTGCTTGTTGTCTATAACGTGCAGTCGGTCCATTTTCAGCTGCAGGATCCGGAATGAGACGGTGTCGCCGGCCAGAATGGTGACTTCGGAGGGCTCTATAATAATGTTGGCCAAGACATTGATGTAAACTTCAATGGGCTTCACGTGCCTGTACTCGACCTGGGGCATGCCGATTTTTACCTTGGCTGTGCCCGTGTTAATGCCCTCAAGGAGGATCATGTACCCCTTAGTACCCTCCGCCTCAAACTTCTCCAGGGCGGGCGGAGTCGTGTGATAGGGACTGTCCGTGAAGGTAAGGTAGCGCATAGCGGCGGGCTTCTTGCTTTTGGGTTCCGAAATCTCCCAGTCAAACTCAATGCCCTCCAAGGTGAAGAACTCGTTTCCCTGCTCATCAAAAGCGTGCAGTTCGAACATGGCAGGCGCCTCCTCGAGGTAGAGCTGTCGGGTGGCTGTTCGCACGTTTAAGCTTGCGATGACATCCACAATCACGTCGCAGCGCAGTGTCTCGCCCGTGTGAGCCTCCTCCGCAAAGACAATCGCTGTGTTCCGTCGCCGCTCGTGGGTACGCACCGTTACCACCGCCTGGTAAGCACATTCGCTGAAGCCCTTGTAGACAGGCATGATAGATATTAGATCCTGGCGGGAGGCTGACCTGCGGGGTTTACAAAGTAGGGTTATAATAGCGGAAGGCAAGTGGGACGGCGACTTACCATTTGTAGCAATTGGACTCGTCGACTTCCAGGGTGAAGTTAATGGCCTTCTCCTCAAAAATTGGCAGCAGCACACGTGGGTGGTTCAACCTAGCTGCTTCAGCACCGTGGATGGCTGCCAAAATCAGCAACATTAAGCATAAAACGTAATCCATTTTGGCGGAAAACGCAGCACGCTTAAAGAGATTTTTAACAAAATGCCGGTAGTGATGGACTATTAACATCGATGACATCCATGAAGAAACATCGATGTCACCGATGTTTTCAAGAAATCGGTAACATCGATTTTTGGCAAGCCAACATCGATATTTTTCATCTCTAACTGCTCTTCAAATCGGAAAACGTGCAAATTGTAAGTAAATTTGTATTAAAATATTTCTTCTAAATTACTTACATATATTATGTTGAAAATTAGTGTTCTGTTGGTGGTGTTGGATAGAGAATTTCCATTTATTGGTGCATATGTATGTATGCACATATGCCTATGCTTGAATGCTTGATTGCACGTAAGCACATGTCTTGTATGTGATTTTGTACGTTTACTAGGTATTTGTATTGAAAAAAAATTACATTTTTAGGAACCTGAAAATCAGATGAGAATGAACAGGAGCTAGCTCCAAAAAAGAAGAGGAAAGCTTTCATTTCTCGGGATCATCGGTCCAGAAATTTGGTTTACGTTCCCGCTTCATCGTGTGAGTCAAAACGCGTTTTTAGCAAACCTGGACAAATGATTTCCGACCGTCGGACTTTCTTCATTCGTCGTCCATGGACTGCGTTGGAACAGGGCTCAACTGCAAAAACATCGGCTAATAGGGTATTTCCACAGAGATCCATCCACCTTCCACCATTCGTTGAAGGGATGGTCCATAAGGTTTTGCCGGTCCAAAAACTTCCCAGTTAGTCCGCCGTTAAACTTTGACGGACTTTAACGCACAAATTTATGCGATGGATGGATCTCTGTGGAAATAGTCTATAAAGATAGAAACACTATCAGGCCTGTTCCGGTTTTTATTTGGAAGTGCATTTGATAACATTTTCAAATAACCCTTTAACATAGGCAAATTGCACTTCTTTTGGTCCTTTATGTTCCCAAACAAAATCAGTTGACTGGCAGCTGACCCCTATTGACAAGGGCGTTTGATTTGTCAGAGTTTTGCTGCCTCAGGGCTGATAACATTTTTGCCCGCTGGTGTTCCTTAGCTTATGGGATTAATGGTATACAAATTTTAGCGCATAAAATCGAAGGAACTAGCATTGGCGGCCAAAAATATAAATTTTCAAATTTTTGTACGCCGCATTTAGCCTGTGCTAGAAAATGCTGGTGTCAGTGCTGTTAACTTTTCACAAATAGTGTTGAGAACCAGAGTTGTCAGAATTTTACGGAAGTAAACAGAGAATTAACAGAGGGAATTTAGATTCCGTGTGAATTTTTCGGAAGTGAAAACTGGGACGTGTCTGGGATATTCGAATCCGTGTGAATCTTTCGGAAGTAAAACCTGAACAGGCCTGCATATGCAAACATCACTGCTCCTATTAAATTAATTAAAAATTATAAACTGTCGACGTGTTTGGAAAATCACTGAAGAAAGGGAAATAGCCAATTCAAATTCAAGCCTGTTTCCACACAGTCCATGGAAACGGTTAGAATTTTTTGACAAATGTGAAACTCCGAAATCCACCCTCCGTTTTCATGACATTTCAAGTTATACTGAACCGATTCCTTTGAAAATTGGCATATATATTGTTTATACTACTCCCTATCGCGTCTACCTCGGACTTGACAAAATTTTGATTAAAATATTTGAAAATGTCAAATAAGTGGTTAAAAAACATTTTTTGTTTTCAAGTCGTTTGTTGAAAGTGGTCGACCCGATAACGGAATTTTTACTAATGAACAATTTGTTTGAAATCATATCAACCAGGACGCCGCGATTTTTTCGAAGACCCCACACTCTGCGAATGTTAATTTTTTTATATTTTGTTTATTTTCTGTTTTCTTAAAATTTTAATAACAAACATATAAAAAACTGAATACCAAAAATGTTTCATTCATTTTTTATCTATCTTGAAAAAACGCCTTAAATTTAATTTTACTGCTATTGATTAGTTGTTAGATGGTTATCTGAACTTTTAAATAAAGGCTTATATGGAATGGTATTTTATTTTTGGCCGGAAGGTAATTCTTATCGTTATAGGCACGGTCACACTTGCGACAGGTGATTGCCTATGTAATCTTCCCATTATAAACAAGCAAGTTAAGTGGTCCACCTTAAATCAAGCACTATGTTGCAACTTAGTCGTACCCTGCTGCGCTCGCGATACTGGCATCGCGGCCGCTGGGTTTCCACCTGGACTCCGCTGGCCACAGCCTTTAATTCTCCTCCGGCCAGGCGGCTCAATTTTACCCGCGACGATGTGGTAAGAGCCAGAGTCACAAATAAGCAGGACCACTGCGACTAGGATTCCATGCGCGTTTCCTTTGCAGGGTCTCTTTTGTATGCCGGAACTGCGGGGCTTCGAGGGCTTCTACTTGTTACGCGACAACGCGGAAAGCCGGACGCAGGAGCTCATATCGGAGGCCATATCCGATCAGCGGCGGCGGAAGATGGTAGACATTTTCGACGAGCTCTCCGACACCTTGTGCAAGGTAGCGGACCTAGCCGAGTTCGTTCGGATCGCCCATCCTCAGAGCAAGTACACCCAGGCGGCAGAGCAGGCCTGTATCAGCATTTGCGGCGTTGTGGAGAGCCTTAATACGCACAAGCCCATTTACCAGGCCCTGAGCCATGTGGTTCAGCACGGGGACAAGCTGCCTACTAGTGAGGTGGATAGGCATGTAGCCCGATTGTTTCTATTTGACTTTGAACAATGCGGCATCCATTTGCCTGAGGAGGAGCGCCTACGGGTTGTTCGTCTCAACGACTACATTCTTCAGCTGGGCCAGAAGTTCATGAGTGGAGCCGTGCAGCCCAGCGTTCTCCCGCGCCATCACGTCCCTGAGGCTATTCGTAACTAGTTAGTCTATACATACCTCTATCCTGCTTGCACTGACAATATCTCTCCTAGCTTTCCGACCTCCGGCGACAATGTAATTATCACGGGACTGTGCACAAACGCAGCGAACGTGCAGGTTCGGGAGGCCGCCTATCGGCTATACCTGCAACCTTCCGACAGCCAGGAGAATCTTCTGCGAGACCTACTGCTCTGCCGGCATGAGCTGGCCCGCAGCTGTGGATTCGAGACGTATGCCCATCGGGCCCTGAATGGCAGCACCATGGAGAGACCCGAAATTGTTCACGAGTTTATTGACGAGCTGTCGGAGAAATTGCGACCGCGCGCTGAGGCCGACTTTGCCAAAATGACTCAAATGAAACGCCGAGAGTGCGGTCGGGAGGGCGCCATGGTTGAGGTTTGGGATACACCCTATTTCACCACCCAGATGAGGCGGCAATCCCTCGAGGAACAGACCAACGAGTTTCTTCCATACTTCTCGCTGGGTGGCTGCATGGAAGGATTGGATAACCTGCTACGTGCTCTCTACGGCGTCCGGTTGGAGAACACCGAGATGGAGCCAGGCGAATCGTGGCACAACGACATCTACAAGCTGGCTGTAGTGCACGAAAGAGAAGGACTTCTGGGCTACATCTACTGCGACTTTTTTGAACGCACTGGCAAGCCCAACCAAGACTGCCATTTCACCATCAAGGGAGGCAAGCGTCTGGCGGATGGCACCTACCAACTGCCCGTGGTCGTGGTCATGCTGGGTCTGGCGCAGCCGCGCTGGAGCGGACCGACCCTGCTGTCGCCTGCGCGCGTTGACAACTTATTCCACGAAATGGGTCACGCCATGCACTCGATGTTAGCTCGTACCGAGCATCAACATGTGACGGGTACGCGGTGCGCCACAGACTTTGCCGAGGTCCCCAGCGTACTCATGGAGTACTTTGCCAGCGATCCGCGCGTGCTGCGAACCTTTGCCCGCCACTTTCAGACTCACGAGCCCATTTCGGAAGATATGCTAAGGCGGCTGTGCGCCTCCAAGCACCTCTTTGCTGCCAGCGAGACGCAGCTCCAGGTGTTCTACTCAGCCTTGGACCAAGAGTACCACGGAGCAGGGGCCCAGAAAAGTGGCAGCAGCACGGAGACATTGCGCTCCGTGCAGAGCCGCTTCTATAGCCTGCCCTATGTGGAGAACACGGCGTGGCAGCTGCGCTTTTCCCACCTTGTGGGCTACGGAGCCAAGTACTACGCTTACCTCGTTTCGAAGACAATCGCCTCCTGGATCTGGCAGACGTACTTTGAAGCGAACCCCTTTAACCGACAGGCGGGCGAGAAATACCGATCCGAAATCCTAGCCCACGGAGGAGCCGTCCCCAGCCGGAAGCTGGTGGCAAACTTCCTGCAGCGCGAAATGACGCCCAGCGTGTTGGCCGACAGCCTTATCGCCGAGATTGACGCCGACGAGTCGAAAATCAAGGACCTGATCAGCAGAAGTTAACAATCCTAACGCCCTTTTCAGTTGTATATGCCTCTCGTATTAGTTAACTTTTATTGCCTTTGTTTTACGCGGCGGATTCAATTTTGGTTTCATGACTAGGCTGGTCCCAGCGCCGGCATCAGTTCCACGCCCACAAACTCCTTGGCCAGACGCACTCCCAGGAAAAACAGGCCGTAACTCTTGACCAGCATCCTGCGTACGATTTCGGTTATGTAAAGTTACGTTTAATGGAATCTGATCGCACCGCAAACTCACCATTGGAACTCGTTGTTGTAGATGCTCCGCAAAATAATCAGGGGGTTCGATTTCACCATTTTATTGTGATTACCTCGGATCTGCTTATTTCCAGGTGGATTTTTTTTTAGTTACCTTTTTGCACGAGGGAATGTTGACAATTGTGAACGAAAGGATTGGCTCTGCCAATCTGTTTTCGTTTTGGTATTTTACAGAGATTTTTTTGTTACGACAGCGCCTGTCAAAGGCACAATATGAACAGTTCAGGCACACTAATACCCGCTTCCCACACAGACTAGCCATGGGAAAATTGCTTTTTTCACTAATTTGACTAAACTAAAAAATGTACAAACTATTTTGTCTGTTGTATAAAAGCAAAACCTTAGGTTGCGGCTGATTTTATTGGTATTAAATTCAGAGGACTTAAATGATGATGAATTATAATTATATATATAAATACAAATTCCTTCCATTTTTCAATTGTTCACTGTCATCATTGCTGATAGCCAATACATATTGCAGTATTTTTTGGGTGACCGATGAGAAGACGGTAAAAAAGTGAAACTCAACGACTTCTTCTTCCGAGTGCTCAAGACAAAGTGAAGTTCATCCAAAAATTATTTAAAAATAAAAAGTTTATTGGATATGGCTATTTTTTTTTTTTTTTTTTTTTTGGCTGTCACCGGCAGCAGATGCTCAATTTATTGCTTTTATTACTATTTACTTTTTGGTTGGATATCACTTTGTTGTGAGCACTCGGAAGAAGAAAAAATTGACGGAAAACAGTGGCGTGTGAACTGGAGTTTCACTCTTTCATCGTCTTCTCATTGCTTCCCCAAAAAATACTGTAAATATTAATTTAATTCATTATAATGAGTTTTAACGTTTAAGGGATTTCAGTTGTTACCTTTTCTCGCTTTTTTATTCCGTTTTGTCGTCAACTCCAATGAATGAGCCAAATTGTACTTTTTATAACAATTTTGCTCGTTGATGTATCGATCACGGTGGTATTTCATCGAATGACATTTTTATACCTAAGTCCGGTTCATATTCATGGGGAAATCCAGCAGGAACTAGTGGATCAGGAAGTTGTGGTCTCCATAACCATCCATTATAGGCCATTATCAGTAAAAAATCATAAGCGAAGAAAAAAATTTCGACTGGCTTATGTCAAAATTGTATTTAGTTTGCGTTGATATCCATTTTATTAACGGAAAAATTTAATTTTGTCTTCACTTTAGTTTTGTTTACTTCTTGTAGGAAGTTCAGCTGCTCTTGCAAGAACTCCTTTAAGCGGCTGTGTGCTGAGGGTCTAATTCACATTTTTGACAAATATGAAACTCCGATTTCCACAGAGGACATTCACTATTCACCTTACGATAGCAGGTGATCTGAACAGCTGCGTTTCGTCAAAACAACAAATTTATGTTAATGTTTTGATGAGCCACAGCTTTTTTGGAAGGTTGATGTGCTAAGTGGAAATCGCAGTTTTGCACATATTAAAAATCCCAACAGTTTTCAGGGATGAGCCTAGGGAAGAGGGTTGCACCGAAAAAAACATGGGCTAACTATCGCATAAATTAGTCCGTCAAAGTCCGTTAAATTTTAATGGCGGACTACTGGGAAGTTTTTGGAAGGGCAAAACCTTAATATCAATCCTTTCAACAGATGGTGGAAGGTGGATGGATCTCTGTGGAAATACGCTATGAGTAGGCATATATGGACAATCCATAAATATAACCATAAATGATGGTGCTTTGTGGGAATAGGTTATAACAGATTTTGTTTTTAGGGATGCATGGGCTTCAAAAGATACATATATTGTCATTTATCTGATACCGATCTACGGTCACTTAAAAGTCTTAGACTACACGTGCTGATTCAAAACAAAAAAATTTGGGTAATAGCGCAGCATAATGGATGACGATGACGAAAACTTCAGTATGGAGGTTGTGGAGCCCGAGGACGCTGAGAGCGACATGAATTCGGACAGTGCTAGTGATGCGGAGGACAACAGCGCCAAGCCCAAAGAAGTCTATCTGCCCGGAAACGTGTTGGCCGACGATGAGGAGTTGGTCTGCGACGAGAGTGCCTACGTAATGTTGCACCAGGCTTCCACGGGGGCTCCCTGTCTGAGCTTCGACGTCATTCCCGACGAGCTTGGGACGGGGCGGCAGGCGTTCCCGATGACCGCTTACATAGTGGCCGGCACGCAAGCCTCCCGCACCCACGTTAACAATCTCATTGTGATGAAAATGAGCAATTTGTGCAAGACGCAGGAAGAGGAAGAAGACGAGGAATTAGAGGACGACCAGGACGACGTCGCAGACCGTGAGGAGCTAAGGAAGCCGCAGATGACTTGCGCCCTGATCAAGCACCAGGGATGTGTTAACCGTGTGCGTGCCCGCCGTTTGGGTAACACGGTGTTCGCCGCCTCCTGGAGCGAGCTTGGCCGCGTCAATATCTGGAACCTGTCCCAACCCTTGCAAGCTGTGGAGGATTCAAAACTGCTCAAGCAGTACGAACAGCAGAACGAGGCCCGTCCTGTATTCTCCTTCGGCGGGCACCAGCAGGAGGGCTTTGCCGTAGACTGGAGTCCTAGCGCGGAGGGCGTGCTTGCCACGGGCGACTGCCGGCGGGACATTCACGTGTGGAGTCCCCTGGAGGACGGCACCTGGAAGGTGGACCAACGCCCTTTGGCGGGCCACTCTCATTCGGTTGAGGATTTGCAATGGAGTCCGAACGAGCGCAGCGTGCTCGCATCCTGCTCGGTGGACAAAACCATTCGCATTTGGGACTGCAGAGCGTCGCCGCAGAAGGCCTGCATGCTGACCTGCCAGGACGCCCACGAGAGCGATGTCAATGTGATTTCGTGGAATCACTCTGAGCCTTTTATCGCTAGTGGCGGAGACGACGGCTTCCTGCACATCTGGGACCTACGTCAGTTTCAGAGCCAGAAGCCAATTGCCACGTTTAAGCACCACACAGACCACATAACCACAGTGGAATGGAGTCCCTGTGAGGCCACTGTCCTGGCCTCGGGTGGCGACGACGACCAGATTGCCTTGTGGGATTTGGCTGTGGAGAAAGACACCGACCAAGCTCAGGCCCAGGCCCAGAACGAAGATGAGCTTAACAAGTTGCCACCCCAGTTGCTTTTTATTCATCAGGGCCAGAAGGAAATAAAGGAGCTACACTGGCATGCTCAACTACCGGGCGTACTGCTATCCACAGCCCACAGTGGCTTTAACATTTTCCGCACCATCAGCGTATGATCCCCTTAATCAGCTGGCCCATTATGCTATGAGTAAACTACTAGAAGATAAAAAAACAAAATCATTAGAGCCCAAATGTTCTTTAAAATGTATATGGAACATACATATATTTTTCACACTTTAAGGAGGGTTATCAATAGCTGAGAAACGATTTTTGTATGCATTAATAAAATCTATAACTATCTAAGAAAACCGTTGCAAAGTTTAGTAGCCAACCTTTTTTTTATATTTGAAAATATAAAAGCATAAATGTACAAGAATTCGCCGTGCCAATCATTACCCATTTATACGGTCCATACTCAGATGCTTAACAGAGTTGTTGCAACCCCATTTACAAATCGCGGCTATAGTTCCGAGAAACCCCATCGGACGATAATTTTTAAATTGTCAGAATCCATGTATTTTTGAGTCCTGATTACGAATAAATAGATCAAAGACCGATTTCTTGGAAAATAACGGTAAAAATCGTTATTTTTGTTTTTTTTTTGTTGGCAATTTCTAGCTAAACATGATCTACATACATTAAAAAACACATCCAAACAAAAGTTCAAGGTCTAATTGAAATGCACAGTTTATGTTTTGTTAATATTTAACGAGATATCGACCGAATTTTAAACGACCGCCGAAGTAATCACCTAGATAGGGATGAGCAAACGCCTATCAATACATTATCGCGTTCGTGAAAGTTATCAAACTATTATCGGTTTCGTGAATGAAATCGATTTGCGGTATATATATGGAGGCAACATTAAAAAAATTCTCCAATCCCCTACTCCCTTCCCACACCATATCTGCAAAAAAAATATAACAAACACAAAAATAAAAAATTTTTCAACAAAAATCTAGCAAACACGTATGCATTCCATAACGTTTATTTAAATAAAAAAATTTCTTGTGTAATTCGAGTGTAAATTCATTTTATGTCAAAGAAAAATATAATTTAATATAAAGCGGCAAGCTTTGGAATGCGAAAACCTTAGAGATGAGAGTTTAATGGTCTAGGCCCACAGATCACCATCCACCACCACTTTCAAAGATGGTCCTTGGTAGCCCCTTTCCACGCAGATCCCTTCACCTTCCAACATCCGTTGAACGGATGGTCCATAAGGTTTTGCCATTCTTAAAACTTCCCAGTTGGTCCGCCAATAAAATTTGACGGTCTAATTTATGTGATAGTTAGCCGATGTTTGTTCGTTGGGATTTAAAAAAAAAAATGAAAATGCGGTTTCCACAGAGCACATCCACCATCCGATAAACGCTGATCTGAACAGCTGTGGCTCATCAAAACTTAATCAAAGATGGTTGACCTGTTGATAGAATCTCTAAGAAACTCGTATTAATTAAAATAAAAGTTAGAGCCAATTCTCATTACAGTATTTTTGGGGGGAACGATGAGAGACAACAAAAAGAAACTCCAATTCACACTGCCACTGTCTACCATCAATGTCACGTTTGAAAACACTTGATTATCAAGAAATTAAAAGGTTTGAATAGCAGGTAATAAATATGTAAATTCCCTATTAAAAACGCTCCTTCTAATTAGAATGCGTGCATGTAGCACAACCCCTATTAAATAAAGGAATAGTTATGCCCTCTTTCCTCATAGTCCATCCGTTGGAAACGTTGGAATTTTCGACAAAAGTGAAACTCCGATTTCCCCAGTGCACATCCACCTTCCGATTTCAGCTGATTTGAACAGCTGTGTCTCGTCAAAAGTCAACAGGTCAACCATCTTTGTTTATGTTTTGATGAGCCACAGCTGTTCAGATCAGCTGAAATCGGAAGGTTGAAGGTGGATGTGATCATTTCTTAATCCAACCGTTTCCAGCCGATGGACTGAGTGGAAAGAGGGCATTCGGTTAGTGACTACGATGGACAGTACCACTCTTCTATTCGTAATAAAAATACAAATTTTTGCCACTGTTATCAGGCACTTGACGTAAACGATTTAGTTTTCTGATAAGGGTAAGCATACAGCTTAAAGTTTACAGAAGTTAAGCAGCCACAGCAGCATGAAGAACACTGGGTAAGCTTTGTGCAGCATGGGAGATATTATTTTCTAATTCTTTAACGCTATCAGAAAGCTGAAGGGAAAAACTTTGTTCATCACCGGCGCCTCCCGTGGAATTGGCAAGGCCATTGCCCTGAAGGCTGCCCGCGATGGTGCCAATATAGTCATCGCAGCCAA